ATTCAGTAGTTATGCATATTGGATATCGCCACAAACAGACAGAATGTTTTCCACAAAAGAAAGACACATAAGCTTGAAGGATGCAGGTCAACCTCAACGTTCGTGGTGTCATTCAAACCAAACAAATGATGGACTTCAACTTTTAACATAACATAACATAACAAAAGTTACAAAACAGCAAAGATCACAAACAATGATATAAGTACTTGTATGCACATCGACGCAATTAATTTAACGAATTAAGCACGTGCACTCCGAGTATAGATACTGGCGAAAAGACAGATATTTTGAAAACATGATACGACTCTCTAAATGTTTTACAGGCCACGAGCCTCGAGACGACCACGGAAGATCTTCTGGAACTGTGGGACGTGGTCAAAGTCCATCAGCGTGTAGTGTTGTCCTGGCACGTCCGTATATGATGGCTCGCCACGACTGAACCCAGACCATGGCTTGAGCTGGTTGTTGAGCCAGTCTGACTTGCTGCCGCGCAGAGGAATGGCGTAGAAAACGTCTGTAGCAGCTGAAAGGGCACGGCATATGAGCAAGCGATAATGAAATGAGAAAGGAAATGACATACAAACTGAACCTGATGGGTTGTAGTCCTTCCCGCACTCGATCAGGGACCCGGCGATGTCAACCCAGTGGTCCAGCTTCTCAGGAGTCAACTGGAGCTCGACAAGACGATCAGGAGGAGACAACTTCCACACAACCTCGAGCTGCTCCTTCCTCGTCATCGGCCTCAGAGCGGGCGCGAGATCATTGGCATCATGCTTCGACACCAGACCGAGGAAGTACGACAAGTTGAGCATCCCGCCCGTCCAGTCGATCTCGTGCATGCGGTCCGCGATGTGAGGAGGGATGTTGATAAGACCGACGAATTTCACTTCCTCGCCCATCGCCTCGAGTCGCTTGGCAACCTCGAACGCGACGACACCGCCGTAACTGTAGCCCGCGATGGCGTATGGCCCAGTCGCCTGGGTCCTCTTGACTGCTGCAGCGTAGCACGACACCATCTCGTCCATGGAGGTGAAGAAGGGATGGCCGGGCTCGAAGCCACGAGCACGGAGGGCGTAGAACGGACGCTCGTTCTGGAAGTATTTCGCGAGGTTGACGAAGATCAGGACCTCTCCGACACCGGGGTGAACGAAGAAGATCGGAGTCTTGTTTCCGGTCAGCTGGAGGGGAACGATGGGGTCGTACTCTTCAGTCTTGCCGTCCTTGGAGAGCAGGGAGTCGACATAGTTGGCGAGGCTCGAGATCACGGGGTGCTTAAGGACCTGGATGGTGGGGATCTCAGGAAGGTCGAAATGTGCCTCTCCCTCGCGCTTAAGCCTAGAGATGATATGCATTAGTGAGAGCCATTTTAGGGTGGAAAGTATGTACTGACCTGATGACATCAATGGAGGTACCGCCGAGTTCGAAGAAGTTGTCGCTCGCCGACATCTCGCTTTCCGCAAGGTTGAAGATTCCAGCATATATCTTGGAAAGCGCCTTCTCCGTCTCCGTGGACGGCGCGACGAACGTAGCGCCGCGTGCCTCGCTCAGAAGCTCCTCCGAGCGAGCGATGTGCTTCGCGAGCTGGCCTTGCTTGAACAGACTGATCAAACGCGCACGAGACAGTTTACCGAGCGTGGTCTTCTCCATCTGGTTCACAGGGATGGGAACGATGAACTGAGGCGGCAGCGTGATCATTTTCACGCAGATGTCACGAAGGGCACGGTGAGTGGCGAACAGCTTTGACGAAGCGTCTGCTCCATCGAGGTCGAAGGTCGGCGAGTAGAAGATGATGAACCCTTCCGTCTCCTGACCAGGAGCACGGTACGGAGCTGCGCCGAGGAACGAGTGAGTCACTCCTTCTACGGTCTGGAGGTGAGTCTCAAGCTCAGGGATGCCGTATGAGACACCGTGGACGATGACGGTGTCCTTGATGCGACCGCTGAGGCGCATGATCCCATTCTCGATGATCCCGACGTCTCCGGTGCGGTACCAGCCGCCCTCGACGAAGCTCGATGACGTGGCCTCTGCGTTGTTGTAGTAGCGTACGAAGACCATCGGTCCCGCGAACCTGGAGCTCGCCGCTCTCCCCGTCGGGGCGCAGCGTCGAGCCGTCTGCAGGGTCAACGACCCGCATCTCGCAGCCGTCGATGGGTCTCCCGAGATCAAGGAACTCGTGAGCAGGCTCATTTGTGAGCACATCCACAGGATGGTAAATGCATCCGGCGCTGCAGAATCCCCGTCAGTTTCTTTATATACCCATATGATTTCATGAGCCTTACCAAGTTTCTGTCATTCCGAATCCAGGAGAGATGTCGAATGACACAGCAGACGGGTTCTTGCTGAGCTGCTTCATGGTGGCAGCGAACGCCTTCGCCGTCTTGGAAACGACGGCTTCGCCTCCGCTGTTGATCCGCTTGATGGATGACAGGTCGAAGGTTCCGAATAGGTCGGTGCGCTTCTCGAGATCGCGCGTGAGCTTGGACAGCAAGAAGTTCGGGGCGAAACTCAGTTCGATCGACTAATCATTCAATCATCAGACACGCGTTTGGCTATGATTTCATACGAACATACCTTTTCGTCGATCAATCGGAGCAGCCGAAGAGGGTCAGCAAGGATAGCAGACGCATGCACGTGGAGTTGCGAAGCGCCATATAGTAGAGGCGTGATGTGCATTTCCAATGATCCTGCGACGTGATCAAATCCGACCCCTGAAAGTCGTGATCAATTTAAGAATAAAGTTTAAACAACGCGTGTCTTACAGTTCAACACTCGAGATTCGGAAGTGAGGCCGTAGCTTTTTCCCTTGGCACGGCATGCAGCAATGATAGTGCGGTGCGTGTGCACGACTGCCTTGGAGAATCCGGTCGACCCTGAAGTCAAGAACAGGATCGCCTCGTCGTCTGCCTTGGCCTCGCATCCAACCCAGTCAGCCGAGACGTTGAACGTCTCCGCCGACCCCTTTAATTCGGAGAGCAGGTGCACCTCCAGACCAGAAATTGTGCTGATCTGTTCGGCCCCAAGCTCATTGGTTAGCCAGATAGCGGACCCAAACAAGTTCTTGATGTGGGCGACATGGCCCTCCTTGTGGGCCTGTTGCGCGCTAAGTGCGGGCTGCAAGCAAGGCACATAGCCAGCCAGCAGACACGCCCATACAGCTGCCATGTTATCTTCGTGCTCCGTCAGGTACACGACGACGATTGAGCCTGTGGGCTTGCCCCACTCTAGCATGGCGCGTGCGAGGTTGCGAACATATTGGTTGAAAGTGCTGAAGGTCTTTGTCTGAATGGAAGAGTCATGTGCTGAGGAGGTTATGAAACCGAGCTCGTGTGACGGATAACGGTCGACAGCTTGAGCGATGACGTCGTGGAGAGTATTAGGTTGTGGAGAGACTATGGATGTCTTTAGGTTAGTGAAGAATCCACTGGTTGTGGTTGAAGCGACTGCGATGGGTGCCATTGCGAGATGAGTGTAAGTTTGTATGAGGATAAGATAAGGTGTCTAGGATATTGAATGCGGATCTCCTTGGAGGTCCGAGCTTATATAGTACGAAGTCGGGAGCGCAATTGAGTAGCACTGCGGTGAGCTTAGGCGATAACGTAATAATGTAGTAGTTAGGGTCAGATATGTCGTCGCAGCATGCACCGGCTCAGAACACTGGGTGGGAGTATTAATGGCTAGTAGGATAAGTCAGCACAGGACTAGCTTGTAGCAACATGAAAAGCCTAGCCTGGGAGAACCGAGAAGTTGGATATCAATGTGCTCCATTTGCAAATATGCATGAGACAGACGATCGGGAGTAGCATGAGCTTAGACTAGTACTGCAGTGGACATTTCTGAATGGCCTTGGCCCATCGATCGATATGATGATCGGATCTGCACAGCGTGGTCCATATCACCGCTACTGACGCCGCTAGTTTGGGAACAAGCTGCGTCGTAAAGTCACTGCACCAAAGCCACTCCACCTTTCAAACGAAAAGCTCCCTAAAGCCAATCTGATCCCCGACAACGCTCTATCCAGCTTTCATGAAAGCCGGTGAGGTGTTATCGCAACTCAGCGACTTTGCTCACAGGTGGTAACCGCATGCTTCTTTTGCATGGATTCATATGGTACTACCGACGATATCTTACCCTTTGCCTCGACCAGTTCTTCGTAGATTTGCCAGTACAGTTGCTTGAAGAAAGACTAGCCAACCTTTTCCGATCGGTCACGAATAGTCGATCATAGTAGGCGATGATTGGTGATCCGTTAGGCCGTGTCTGCAGGGCGATTGTATGTTTCACAACATCTGCATCCGTTCAACCTAGCCTATCCTGTTCAGACTTACTACTAGGACTTACTGGTATGTCTCGATTCACTCTCTCTTATCTAGCGGCCAAGTTATGATCGCGAATCGTGATTTTCATTTCAGGGCCTGTACATGTGATGATAAGTTGGATGAGACCTTGAATCAGGCAACTTTTTTAGCGAAGTCGTTTATTAATTATTATGTAATACTATGTCCTTTGCAACCACATGATGTCTTACTTCGAAAATGGGCCATATCTCCTCTACAAGAATCTGATTTCTAGTGATTTTCAGGACGATGTGATGTGATGTCTTGGGTGATTTGAAATCTCAACTTAATCTCCATAGGATTATACTACTTGTCGTTGATCCCATATGGCATCTCAACGTCAGTAACCTTTTCTGACATCTTTGTTAATTATACTCCACACTTTAGCAGGATTTTTGAAGCTGGAACATTATTTATATTCTAGTTTTGCTTCTAGGGACTCTGCACATGCGTCGACGAGCTTTTTGCATATTAGAAACGGTTGTCATATTACAGGAAATGATAGTAACATACTCGTGCACGGCCCTCGGTGCAAGCAGGTGAGAGTCGCTGACCGAAGGCCTGTACTATCCTGGGCCGCTCTGCCCACCACGGAAGTCGACAGTCACGCAAATGTCACACATAATCGGTCACTCGAGGCCGGTGCGAACTAATTTCCGGATTATAGTTGCATCCAGCATCAAGTGGTGAAGCAGTGTTGAAACGCAACGCTAGTCTAAACTTCATATAGAGCTCCATAGACCCGTATCATCGGAGGCAATGTCACTATTGTTGCGCTGATGACTTATCAACTCCAGCGGTTCACGAACCGCACCATATCTCGTCTTATCAATCCCTCCGGGTCTTCTGAGTCAAGGCGTATTGGTTATTGCCTCCAGTGAGTTTGTTGCGCTCGGCTTGCTTTTCAACTGCTCCTTTCATCACGTTTACCTCTTTCCGCATCTAGTCGTAAAATCACAATGCAAGCTCTCAAGTTCGAGAAGACCGGCTCCTTGGATGGATTAGCTCTGGTTAACATCGACAAACCCATATTACGTCCCGGCGAGGCTCTCGTACGTGTCAGAGCTGCCGGTATCAACGGGGTAAGCCTACAACTCGAGTCGTATCACGCAATAGTACTCTGACCCATCATCAGTCCGATGCTGCAGGCATCCTAGGCATGCTTCCATTTGTGACCACCCCCCGCATTCCTGGCAGAGATTTCTCCGGGGACGTTGTTGAAGCGCTGGACGCATCCGGGGCCTCGAGTCAACAATGGATTGGAGCAGAGGTATGGGGAACAGGAAGCGAGCGGGGCTTCACTTCAGACGGAACGTTTTCTCAGTATGTATTTCACATGCATTTGTCTCTTGTTTTCCTGACGGACGGTTCTTCAGATACGTTACCGTCCCTATCGCCGCATTGAGCCGAAAGCCAGCATCTCTCGACCACTCCAGGGCTGGTAGCATGACCCTGCCTTGGTTATGTGCTTGGATTACAGTTGACACTCTTGCAAACGTCAAGGAGGGAGATAATGTTATTATCATTGGTACATACATCACCTAACGCTACTCCTATCATAATCCCTAACCGCAATCCTCTAGGTGCTCGAGGCGGCATTGGCTCCGCAGCAGCCCAGCTCTGCAACGAGCGCGGGGCACGCATATTCGGCACATACACCTCGCTCGCCAAAGCGACTCCCCCATCATATATCACGCCCATCGAAATAGGCTCTAAAAACGCCATCCGCGAGGCCATCGCCAAGGCAGGACTGCAGAATAAAATCGACGTTTTGCTAGACTGCGCCGGCTACGAGCAGCCATTCAACGACGCGCTTTTCACGATGACTCCGAATGGCACAGGTCGTGTTGTGGTTATGGCTGTGCATGCAAAGGACGGACTGTTCCCGATCAGCATGCGGACGTTTTATACAAAGGCCCTTACGTTAAAGGGCATGCTGTCGAGTATTCTTGGCCCGTTGGAGGTCAAGGAGGTACTGGACAACCTTGCGAAGAAAATTGATAGTGGGCTGTTAGAGGGTCCGAAGGAGGTCAAGGAAGTTGATATGAAGAACATGGACACTGTGAAGGGTGCTCTGCAGGAGATTTTAACTCGAGCATCTCATGTTCGTTCAGTGATTATTCCCTGAACAGTTCCCGTCATAGTATTACCAGTAGCTGTGCGCTGCCTACTTCGATGTTATGATATTTAATTCAAGTGTATTCACGATTCGAATGTCATCACTAAACCGAGAGATGTAACCGAAGAGGACTTCAATAAGATGCAGGCGACGATTGAGGGAACAGCATCTAAAACGAGCAAGAACATTGCTTCAGTGTGCTATGACGTTTCAGAAGTCTACAACTACCCCACGAGCCTCAACGAAGTCATGACGCGTGGCACACGAACTTGCGAAGATTAATAGAAATGCCAATCCGAAGAACCTCGTTGGAAGTGACACGTCTTATTGGTCAGTGGCACACGCGACACCTGGGGGCCATGCCAGAAGCTTCAGAACATTTGCCAAGCAAGTCACAATGCTAAGCTATTATGCGAAATTCCAAAGAAATAAATAATAGGAGCGAGTAGGGTGTACTAGTAGTAATTAATGCGATACACACAATGTACATATCAATGCATAACATGCAATAGATTATCGATTAGGATAAATGTCAATGGCGAGTAGAGTCAAGCACTTTATACATGCAACCTAAAACGGAACAAGCGGCTTGGCATCGACGGTATAAGATCTATAGGAAGAATTCCTCCAGTGTGCGGCCAAATGTCGCAAGGCCATTACGAATAGTTTCATCTGTGCCAACAAACGTTGCTCTGAAGAAGTTCACTCGCTATATGTTTTCTTGAGTGTGTATTCGACGCGCATAATGGGGAGAACTTACGTCATTAATGTGGCTTCCCATCGTCCCCGTGCGATCAGCAATGGCAAATGTTGATGCTGGCATCATGACCAAGCCGTTATTTAGCAGCTTCCGGAACAGCTCGTCCATGAGGTCCGCGGTGTTCGTCGTCGGACCGCCTGGTACCGTCGGGGTCTGAGATGCCGAGTACCGTGCGTGATGCTCAAGGTTGACTTTTGATCCAGACAAACATCCCAGATTGTGGTACTTCCGCACTGGCGAAGCCGGAAGTGGCAACCTTCTGCCGGAAGACATCCATGAAGAGATCCCTCCGACGTTGGTATTCGTTGCATAGCGATAAGATCCACTTCATAAAGCCATCGACGCCCCAACCATTACTGCCAAGCAACTCGGCAACGAAAGCTTGGCCCATGCCATGTGGATGTTGCGAGGACGAGTCCGTCAACATGTCAAGCTTATCTGCGAAGTAGCTGTTGCTTGTGACCCAGCCGAGTCGCATTCCAGGGGCAACGATTTTACTGAAACTGCACTCATATTCGTATTAGAGTTGTGCCTCTTGTGAAAAGGAAATGGTCTTACCTATCCAGGCGCATTACGCGTCCATCATAATCCATGGACAGGAATGACCGAGGGAGAACTTCCGCCATGGCACGTGTGTGCCCATATTGTTGTATCGTACTCTGGCTCATGCCAAGATCATACTGGAGGAAAAAGTACGGATCATCCTCAAGGATGATGATATCCCAATCGTGTGCAATTTGATAAATCTGCTGCCTTCTTTCCAATGAAAGGGTGCTTCCTGTTGGGTTCTGCGAGCACCTGGATAAGAACTGTGAGCTGTATGGAACCTGATTGAGAGCTGGCGATGACGTACGGGATCGTGTAAAGCACATGGGGTCGTTTACCTTGTTTTGCTTCATCCCAGCTGGATAAAATTCGTTCTAAATCTGAAGGAACAAGTCCATTGTTATCCATCCGGATCGGGACCCATTCAATGCCTAGGGGCAGAGCAGCATTGGTCATAGCAGAAAAGGTGAATTCTTCGCAAAGGAAAGAGTCGCCTGGATCACCGAGAAGACGGAAGCATTTTGTCAGCGCGTCTGCATTGCCAAGGCTAAGCGAGACGGTGTGGTTGGGAGGAGAGTGGATCCTGTCGTTGAGGTCTGCAAGGGCATCGCGGACATCCTTGAGACCAGCACCAGCACCATACGCAAAGGCAGTACGGAGGCTCAGAGCGCAAAGCTCGTCCTTGTATGAAGAAATGATATTTTGCTCGCCAGTGCCAGACCTCCATGATTGCACGGGGTCATGCTCGTCAATGGAAGGAACGACAAAATTCACTTCGCTTATGGGATACAACGTATGATGCGGATCACCTGCACTAAATTAGCCAGTGTGTTCGTCCTCGATGACAATTCACAAACCGTTTCCCATATTGATGGTGCCAGGTTTGACCTGAGCAGCTTTCCAGATGGACTTAATCGGGTTAGGGAGCCTGGAACGGGCTTCCGCTGATAGATAGCGAGAATAGTCGACATGGCTACGCTTGAGACCGACATCGGCTGCTGAAGTAGCAGAGGTAGCTGAAGGTAAGAAGACCATTATGTGCACAAGGTAAGAGGCTGAAATTCGAAGGGCAGATATACTAAATTGCAGGGTTTTCCCGTCCTCTCCCATCTGCTTTTGAAGGATACATGCGTGACGCGCTGGCAGCCTGGCACTGCTGGGTATTACTTCTCGATCAGGACGAATCCAAGATTGCAATGCCAGTCGTCATGTCAAGACAATTGCAGCGCCCCTGACTTTGGCTAGTCCTCAGCTTCCTTGAGTCATTTAAACTCAATTCGTATTATTGGGAATCTAAATGAACGTAGAGCGGGTGGAAATCGCCCTTTGCGGCTCTTGTCGAAGAGCATAGCATTTGGAGAAACTATGCAACCAGTCGGAAATACTACTTAGTCAGCTAAGTAGTTTGTTTCATCAATTTTTGCAGTACATTTAGTCTCGCTCACCTGTCGGCGGTAGGTAACCGGTAACGCACTGTGCAACTATAGTACTTAGTGGTTGTGAACCGGGGTGAACTTGCATGAACCAGTCCATATTCTAATTTAAACTCCGCAAACATCGCGTCGAGTCTAATTGGAGTCTGGTACAATCCACAGCGATCCACTGGCGCCGTGGCACCCATGATCGGGCTACCATGCTAACGCTATGCTTCATCGATCCTCACCACATGCTCTCGATTCCTTCAAATGTACTAACGGCCTGGTGTGCTACTACAGGTTGCCACAACTCCGTAGTCTTTCCGGCACCCGACGATCTATGTAGCAAGCAGCAAAACCTTCGGAAACTCAGTGTGTTCGTCCAAATACTTCCGGTGGTTACCGATCTGCGACTAGCTTCGGGGCTTGTAACGACAGTCGGGGAGACTAGGAAACATATCTGAAAGATAGGAAGCCTAAGGTGTAGGAGGAGCTCATACAGATAATTGTCAGTGCGATTACGATGTTCATTAACGCTAACCAATGTAGGAGGTTGATGATTCAAAGGAATATTATTTGTGACAAATAATGATTCAAAAGTGACGGATTGCCTAGGGCGACACTTCTGCCCAAAAAAAATCTTCCCCTGTCAAGATTTATATGCCACGTCTACAAAATTGTAAGACTGATCAGATCGTTATCCGGAGCATTGCGTTCCCTTGATGCTGTCCGACGTAGCACCTCACACGCATGTGTCGTAATCAACATTTACCTCTAGTACACCATCCAAACCAACTAGACGTCAAAGCACACAGGCGGCAACAGGGTGGGCTTATCAATCTGAATGTAACTGACATTTCCTAGAAGGTCTGATGGGACTAGGGACAATTGGTTTGTTCGCCCCATCTGGAAACTCGTACGGAATCGCGGTACGGCACAGTGCGTACTGAGAATATGTGCATCATAATCAAAGTTCGAGAGATGGACCTAGTCGGCACTTAGCCACTAATGGCATGTAGCTCCCTCGTTTACTCCTATAATCTAGGCTTCAGGTTTTGTGCTCAACCACTTCCACACTAAATTTATACCATGGCGATCCAACCACAGGCTTAGACGTTGGCAGCTGCTCGGGATAGCATAGCTCCGACCCATATTCCCCGATGAGTGATAGTACCATTTATTATCATATTCTGCCTTGTCTCATCACCTGCGCCACGTTCAGTCCCTGTCGCCGTGGTTTTCAGTCTCCCAAAGTCTTGGGCCATTCGCGGTGATCTCCGTCGACGCGTTCATCCATTCTGTGAGAATAATTCTCACGCCCCGGTGTAGATCCGGCTCTTTCACAATGTGCTTTTGAGTCGTCTTACTGGCTCAGCGTTAAAACTATCTCGCGACATTCATTTGATCATCTTGTGCACATTCGCCAATTATCAATTGGAACAATAACGCCTCCCTTAGTAATGGCTTGCGGCGCACAAAGTCCCTCTGCGGCACAAGTCATTTGTTTATAGCAGCGTAGGTTTTTTTTACATTACAACTGGCCTGCAAGGTATGCATAGTTCACTCCGCAGTATACGTCAACTAGTTGATTCTGCATGTCTGATAATTATCTGGCACATTCAACGAATTAGCTCTGTAACTGTTTGGGGAGCAATACACGTACAACAGTAGTATCCAAATGCCATACGGAGCTCAGAGCTGAAATGCATGATAAACTGGTAAGAATGAATGCGCTCTACCCCCTGTTGGCCTGTCTCCCTGTAGTTACATCTTTATGTCATGATTGTCATCGGGTGAAAATCAATTGAGTACAGACACGCCGTGCGAAGGATATTTGGGCGTTTTGAAACGTGTCACATTCGCAAGAACCCCATCACCCTGTCCTGATGGTAACAAAAGAAGCTCATGAAGTAATGTTTCCATGTTGCATATCATAGAGACTGTACACCAAACAAATAAAAGGGTGATATTCTCGAAGCCCTCATGCATTTACTGTAGCTAGCAGTGCTAGCGTATAAGAACCTTCGAGACCCGGATCACGGAACGTGCACAACGTGATGGACAACTTTTAACGATGATGTTGTGGCGCTCTAAGAAACGGAATGGAGATCTTCCATCATACAGATCGCAGGTACGTGGGTCCAATCGTAACCCCAGGCCAGTTTCTGAAAATCAAGATGGCCAGTCACTAGTCACTCTTGACCTCTAGGGAGGGTGCCAGTGGTTAGGCAAGAACGCCTCGCGCTGGCATCTCATCATCCTCAGAGCCTCGGCTCACAGGGAGGCCGCCTGTAAATGAAGTGATGCGTATGTGCACGTCGTGATGTAGTACCAAGGAATGCAGCTGCTAGCGCCTCAGATCTAGGAGAAACGACAAAGTACAAGTTCAAAAGAGCACCAAAATTACAAGTAACATAACAGCGAGACTCATTGACAGTAATAGTTTCCTTCCATATCACCAGGTGGTCGCGTGATCCCCTACACGAGCTCCTTTCGCCGAGGCTTGATGCGGCTGCCCGAGTACTCGATTTCTCTACCATGACGATTCATCAGTACTTAAATCTGTATTTCAATAAAGATAGGGTCAGTGGGGCACATACCTGTGGGAGACCACGCTATCACCCTTTGGCCCAGAGCTTGGCCGATCATGACTATCTGCAGGATCTGGATCGTTTATGCTGCTGAGATATAACACCCAAATCATTTTTTGTCTGGTAAGCAACATGTAACAGCACGTACTCAAACCAAGGAGCGCTGAATACATATACAGCGAGAACAGCGAGAAGAACCAGTGTTAAATATGTCACTGCAGTCAGAATTTTCACGAAGAGCTTGTCGGAAGTGAAACCAGCTACAAAGACAGCTGAAACTATTTTTGAGATTGCCGACTTCAAATCGGCACGTGCGCACAAACCTGTCAGTAAAGCCATTGTTGAGACTGCTAGAGCCAGGGAAGGATATGCCATCAGTATAAGGGAGCATACGAGGCGCAAGCGGGATCGCTTTAACGACTGGTGGTTGTTATTACTCGAGCATGAAGAGTGTATGAAAGGCAAATGACACACTTTCAATATTCGTTTCATATCTGCATTTCCATAACAAGTGTCATAGATGATGAGGACAGAAGTTCCAGTCATCAAACTGATCAACGCAGCTACAAAGGATGAAACTTGAAGGATATACGACCCTGAACATATGTCAACCCAACGAAGTTTGAAGAGAAGGATCCGGAAGTTCACCATGCTTAAAAGAATGTTAGCTTCCAAATGCCGGGGAAATAGAACAAGTGCATACGCTTGCATAGGGCATAAGAGGTTGAAATGCTAAGAATGACCGGTAGATTAGAATTGTGTAGACTTCGGACGAGACAAAGATGATTTACGAGGTTGAGTAGATATAAAAACAGCACTTGTGGTCAAAACCTATTCAATGAATTCAACCACGCTCCCTGAGCCTTGCATAATATCCGTACCAGACCCGCCTACAAATAAGTTTCGATGACTGAAGGAACATACCACCGATACTCACCGTGACGTTCATGTTTCCTAATCGATCTGTCACCATTTTCTTATGCTCTGCCCATTCCTCCTTTTTCCGACCATTTATGAGGTCATCCCAGTGGTTGACCGACGGCTTCGATATAGCGATCAAACACAATGCCTTGAAGCACAGACACCAAAAGGGATGTCGTGGTGGATCATACCATAACAGCTGAGTCTTATCCGACTCAGAATTTCGGGATGGAACAGGTGGCACACTTGGGGATAGAGTGGCGTCTGTCGTAGACATGAGTAGAATGGTTGAGAGTAGTACGTACGTTACACGTATATGTAGTACTTCAACAGCATGGGGGACACGAGAAAGCACGCGAGGTGTGAGCAGAACAGGGAGCGTCGGTAACTCTCTTTGCCGGCTTCGATTACGGAAGGTTCATAATAGCATCACAGTGATACATGCTTATGGGAGTGACGACTCAGCCGTGTGCGTGAGGCATGTACATCTGCAAAAGCGCTGAAATGAACGCTTACTTACGCGCGTTACGGACACTTACGAACGCTTACGACTTCAGTAGCGAACTCACGCGATTGGTGGAGATGCTGAAAAACAATATCTGGCTGATAAAACTCAAGCACAGTTTATCTTTCATTACTAAGATGTGATATGCTCAAAGATATGATATGATATGATAGATGCAAGAGATTGATACAATCACTACCATCTACACAAACTCAGTACTGAACGTATGATAACTCTCCTTGTCCACAAAGTTATTCAGAAAGAAATGCTCATATGTTTCCAAGGAAGTTGCAGAGGACACATCCTTGGCCACTGTCTTGCCATAAACTGGGATCAGTTCAACTGCATGCATCACATCTGTCACTTGTACAACAGCTCCCTCCCTATGGCAGTTGCCATTTTGATCCTGTGTGTACGTGTGCTCCACAGTCCACATCGCAAGTTCGGGATGATCAGCAGGACTGGAAATGAAGTTGAAAAATTGGACGTAGAGAAGTGGGTTGGACAGATACGATGGCAGTTCCAGGTTGGAACCTCGTTGAACCACCAGTTGAAAGATTAGTCGAACTTGTGCGACGTGACTCGCTGTAAATATGTGATATCAGTAGGGTTAGATGTAGATGTATAGAATATACATACTCATTTGGCCATCAATGGCCATAGTGTCAATGAGAACAGTGTCACAATTTCCCAAGGGATAATCATCGCTTGGTGGATATGCCTGCACCACTCTGCTTGGCATGATGACATGTTGCTGGAAGGCTGAGTGAAGTTGCAGCCAAAACTTGTTCCATGCCTGGTAGCACCCATATTTGGGGTCCCAGCAGGTATTTTCGTCGCCAGACATTGATGAATGAGTAATGAAATTGGCGAGTGTGCAATCGAAGTCGGGGAGTGCATATTTTGTAGATATTTCAGTTGGTGACAATGATCTGTAGTCTGGTGTGACATTTACTTGAAAAGCAGTCTGCGCATCTCCAGATAGGATGCCCTTCAGGAAATGGTTACGGACTGGTCGGGGACCATGAACTGACTTGACTTCATCAGGGAGGACCCGCAAAACCCACGAAAGTGTGGGGTTAGTAGTCTCAACCTCATCCTCTTCAGCATGCATGGCATTGACCAATGATGCCCCACGAGACGTCATTAGTGTTACGAACTAGGATAGTTCTAACAGCAAAGGCTCGACAGAGCGTTCTAGTTGCTGAGATTCGGTAGCCTCTTCAAAAGAGAAGAGGTTCTTTAGACTTAGACGAAGGAGTGCTTCGACTAAGAGATCGGTTCAGACGACTTAAGATTGGAGGTCTTAAGCGAAGGAAGTTCTGGATAAAAACCTAGTAGGATTTGAATAGAGAATACAAGCGAGTATCGCGTAGTTTATATAAGTACATATTGGTGCACGGACCATGATCGATGTGAGAAAGAAATAGAACCGTAAATGGTAAGCATAGGACAAGTCAGGTAATCGGTAAGTAGTCCGTTAAAAGGTATAGAAAGAGACAGTAGAAAAGAGCAGGGCGGTTTGTAACATTACCCCCTTACTAAGCGTAAAGTCACCGGCTTTACTCGGGAGCGTTTTCGTAGTAGACCGGATCGTCAGAAAATTCCAAGTCCCCTTCGGGGCGGTCTGGTCCCCCCTTCATTACCTCTATCATAGCACAGGCTTCTTCTTCCCTGCATCTTTCGGCGTACTCGTCATCCAAAGTATTCTCCCAGTGTGCGAGCTCGTTGTAGAACCCGATGTCCTTCCAAGTAAGAGTAGTGGGTGTCGGCCCGTAGTAGTGTTGGCAGTAAAACGAAAGATGTCCGGGTGCGAGTTCTCGACATACCCGGCAGTAATATTCAGGACAGTTCACCTGCCTATGCCCGAGAATCTTGCAGTATCTGCAGACGCGATTCTCGTCAATAGTGGAAGGGGCGGAGGTACTTGCTCGTAAGGGAGAAGGTCCGGGCTTAGGACTTTCGGTGCTCCTAGCGCGTTTCTTTCCCTTGTTTCTTTGACTTCTTCTCTGAATTCGAAGGTGATGCGCATCCCTCTGCTCTTCCTCCGCGATTAGCTCAGCAGGAGTAGAGGGGCTTGTCTGCCCAAACGCGAGTATAGGTACGATGCCATCGGAGTAACTGTGAGAGGAGAGAATGTCGGGGATTACTTGGGGAGGATGAATATGAAGTTGCGCGAGTGCCTTAGCCAGGCTTTCCATTTCGTAATATCCGAGGTACTGGTGATCAGGGTCGGCGGTGACTTCTTCTCGAGTAGCAGAGAATGCGGTGTAAAGATGCGGGGGGTGCTCTTGGGTTTCTACTTCTGGCACCTCCGCGATTAGCTCAGCAGGAGGTTGCGTGTCTTCGACTGGGGGAGGAACAGGAACAGGGTCGTTGTCTTGTGCTCTCAACGCGGAGAGCATCATCTCCGTTCTAAGTGTGAGATTAGTGACCGCAGCAAGCAGCTCGTTAGGAGTGCAACTAGAGATATTAAGACCTGAGTCCTGATAAGCGGGAGGTTCGGGACTTCCTCTGGAAGGAGGATTCTGAGGAGAAGGCGGTCTAGCCACTCCAGCTGTTCGTTCTGCGACGACGTGGATAACCGTCCTAATATCATCTTTAACTTCAGGAGGAATAAGACGAAGAGCAAAGTTGCGAATACGCCTCTGCATGTGCATAATCGAGTGGCGTACCGCTTCATCATCCACCAAACGAACGACGCGTTCGATGAGTTCGGTGGCGCGGATAATATTGATGAGGAGGTTGACTGGGTGTGCGTTTCGTTCAAAGAGAACGCGGGTGAGTTCGATGGCGTGTTGGGGGCAGAGGACTGCTGCTTCGATGAGGGTGAGGTCTTCTGCCTCGGAGATGTAGTCTTCATATTGTTCATCATTGGTTCTGTTGACATCGGTTTCGAATACGGCGTGGTAGGGTACGGTGAATGTGAATGCGGGGAAGGGCATGCTGGAGTAAGTTCTTGTATCTGGGTGTAGACTATGTCGTCGATGTACTGTCTGATTTCAAAGCGAGTTTCTGGTTTTATAGGCTGTAAGGGCTTCTTCGGCATTTTCCAGGTTTTCTTCTGGAATCCACTCGTTGCTGGCAGATGAGTATCCTTTCCAAGAGACTAAATACCTCCGTCTTTTTCCTCTTCCTTTATGCGATAAGATGGCTTCTATTTCATATTCCTCTTCTTCTTCTAATATATCCGGGGGTGGTTCGGTGAAGTTGGGGCCGTGTATCTCGTTTTCATGATAGGTTGATAACTGAGAAGCATGGAACGTGGGATGAATCTTCCATTGTTCAGGTAGTTCCAGGGTGAACGTGATGGGAGATAGGACCTTCTTTACTACGAAGGGGCCGTATCTTTTCGGCGTGAGCTTCCGTGAAGGAAGTTTTAGTCTGAGATTAGCGGATGATAACCACACCTTGTCCCCTATTTTCCACGGGTGGTACTTCTGTCCGAAGGATCTTTCCGCCATCCTTTGTATGGCTAGATTATGACAAGATATGGCTTCTTCTCTTATCTTTTGGAGGATTCTGACTCGTTCTTCTGCTGCGGGTACGGAAGATTCTGGGGTGAGATGAGGAAGCGCTTTTGGTTCATATCCCATCATAAGGAAGAATGGGGAGGCGTTCCGGGCCGAGTGACTTCGGTGGTTGTGTACGAATTCTGCCATGGGGAGGTGCTCTACCCATTCTGAAGGATTATTCTGGCAGTACATCCTCAGGTACGTTTCTAGTTCTTGGTTTAGTCGTTCGGTCTGTCCATCTGTCTGAGGATGGTAGGCGGTGGATGGTGCTAGGGAGTAATCGAGAAGTTTCGCAAGTTCGGTAGAGAACTTGGATAAGAATTGCGGTCCCCTGTCGGAAATTACTTTGTCGTGGAGCCCAAATCTCTTGAACACGTGTTTGAAAAATAGTTTGGCTACTCCTTCCGAGGAAATCGTTTTGTGACACGGAGTAATGATCACCCCCTTACTAAGTCCATGGTCTACCACGACCATGACGCTATCGAAGCCATTGGAAACAGGGAGGTCGGTGATAAGATCGACGGAGATCTGAGAAAAGGGGCGAGTGGCGAGAGAGGGGATGGGCATCAGAGGGGGAGTAACGGGGTGAGTATCCACCTTCATTTGTTGGCACAGGGCGCATCCAGAGACATAGGCTCGGATATAATTTCCCATTCCAGGCCACCATGCTTCGCGCTTGACTAGTTCTTCCGTTTTAAAACGTCCGGGGTGTCCGGCTGTCGGATGATCGTGATATTTTTGGAGACAAGCGAGGCGCTGGTCAGGGGGAATGTAGGCCCGTTGCTTATAATATAGCACGTCATCAGCGATTGTCCAGTCGCTTAGGGCGGATTTCATGGGGGGAAGACAGAGCCCATCAAGAGCGTCGCGAGCAGTGGAAAAGATGGGGTCGTGGGAGAGTGAGGAGCTAGCGATGGCGGAGCGAAGATCGTCGTCAATTAATCGGACAAACATGGAATCCGGTAGCAGAATGGTATCAGAGTTATCTTCCTTCCCGCATCCGTGGTCAGGTCGACGGGAAAGAGCATCAGGGGCAGCCAATTTTGATCCAGGTACATGATGCAATTCCAGGTCAAACATACCCAAAATGAGTTGCCAACGGGCTTGTCGTCGGGATAACTGTTCTGCCTTTCGGAAGTATAAAAGGTTCATATGATCCGTAAATACGATGACGGGCAGGGGATGCCCCTCCAGATAGTGTCGCCAATGAGTAAGAGCTCTGATGATAGCCAATAACTCTCGATCGTGGATGGGATAGTTTCGTTCTGCTGGAGCGAATGTCTGGGAGAGGTAGGCGCACGGGTGATATACCCCATTTGGATCGGTCTGAAGGAGTACGGCTCCGGTTGCCACAAGGGAGGCGTCTGTTGCGATGGCAAACTGTCTGGATGGATCAGGGTTTTGTAATACCGGATGGGAAGTGAAGCGGTCTTTGAGGTTCTGAAATGCTCGCTGGCATTCCGTCGTCCATGTGAAAGTGACATCTTTCTTGGTGAGATCAGTAAGCGGTCGAGCGATATCGGAGTAGTGTGAGACGAAGGTTCGGTAAAAGTTGCAGAACCCGAGGAACGACCGTACTTCTTTGACTGTAGTAGGTACGGGCCAGTCGGCGATCCCGTTTGTTTTGCCTCTGTCCATCTCTACTTCTCCGGGTTTAATTATCATTCCCAAATATTCCACTTCTGCAGAGTCGAAGGTGCATTTTTCCGGTTTGACGAATAGTTTCTCTCTGCGAAGCCTTTCCAAAATTGTTCTTGTGCGTTTTTGGTGTTCTTCTGGATTTTTAGAGAATATGAGCATATCGTCCATATAAATGATTAGCCATCCTTCGTTGATTTCCGGTCGGAAGGTTTCATCCATGTAAGCTTGGAACGTGGCGGGGGAGTTACATAATCCGAAGAACATTACTGTGGGTTCGAATAGTCCTTCTTCGGTGACGAACACCGCCTTCCACCTGTCTGCAGGGTGAATTCGGATATTGTTATAACCGGACCGGATATCAATCTTAGTGAATATAGTTGCTCCATATAGTCGTTCTACCAGGGAGGAGGGAAGTGGAAGAGGATATGCGTTTTTGACCGTATGCTCGTTCAGGAATCGGTAATCTTGGCATGGTCGTAATTCTCCGCTTTTCTTTCCTACAAAGAAGAATCCACTGGCTTGGGGAGATTTTGATTTAACAATAAATCCTTTAGCCAAGTTTTCTTCAATGAATTGTTTGACCGCTGTTCGTTCGTTGTGGGAAAGTGGGTAAATCCGTGACGTTTTAGGGGTAAAACCGGGTTTCATTTCTATCCGATGGTCGATCCCGGGTCTTTCCGGGGGAAGCTGTTTTAGCCCGTCTTTAGCGAAGACATCGGTGAAATCATGGAGATAGGGTGGGACGAGTTCTTCAAAGGTCTTTTTCTTCTTTTCCTTTTCTTCGGATGCAAATTCTTGCGCTTTGTTGCTAACTTTGGTGACTTCTCCTACTTGGCGGAGATACTCCCCTTGATCGGTAAGTTCGGAGAGAGAGTTGGTGGAATCGTCCCAAACATCTTCCTTGGTGTTCTTGCTTCCGATGTGCTTTATAGAGATTCTGGGGGTTTTAACATAATCAGCGATTTCAAGAGATTTCGGAGTCTGAGGAAGG